TAAAAGTTAAGTGTGTGCAAATCGGATGTGTGAAACGCAGAAATATTCTGACAATCATGGTGATTAGAATTAATATGAGATGTTAAAACGCTTATGATAAGCAGAGGTGGAAAAATGATCATGTTATCTTTTTTGTTCTCTTTTGGCTACTGCGGTTTTTTTTTTCTAGTTTTGTATCTTCCCTTTATTTATTTCACTTTTAAATAGGAGCTCTTAGTTTTATATTTCAAACCATATTTGTTTCTTCTGATTCACGTCTTGGAAATGGGCGCCTGTTTATGAGCGCTTGAAACCTGTATACTGTTTTTTCTTGCTTGAGTATTTTTTGAAACGAACAAAGTTTTCAATCGGATAATAGGTTAATGCTTTAGTTTCTTGAGATTATTTATTTAATGTAATAAAAAATGTTTAATTTTTTGATAGACAATGATAAAAATTTACGTTTAATTTTTAAAATCGAAAATAAGTAAATTTTGGGATTAGAAATGAAATCATGCATGTATATNACATGAAAAAATAACTTCTGCCCACAAAAATAAAAAAAGAAACTTGCTTTGGAACATCAAACGAAGCAATTTTCAGGGGATAGAGCGTTCACCCTTTCAATGAGATGAACAGGGTTGGAATCCCAGCGATGGCTGGTTGATGCGAATTCTGTATCCGGCTTGCACTGACCACAAGGCTGATGTAAAATATCAGCAATGGTAGACGGATCATGGGTTAGAGTCCCCTTGCCGTCAGGCTAACCGTGGGAGATTTTCGTGGTTTTTCTGCTTTATGTAACGCAAATGCGGGTCAGTTCCACCAAAAAGTCCCCCATGATGGAAATTTCCACCCTACAAAAGTTCCCTTGCCTTTTGGATCGGGTTCAAAATTAGAAAAGCTACGGTATTGAGCATTAGTAAACCCAAAAAAAATTGATTTGGCTGTTCAATAACTTAATGATAACTTAGTGACTTAATGATAACTTAATGATAACTGAAATAAACTTAAAAATACTTTTGCCAGAAATCGCAACAAACTGTTTTTTTTCCTTCTTTTTTTCTCTATCGCTCTTCACGCTACAACTTCCGCTTTTAAGAAGTAGTGCACTACACTACAAGCTACGAAAATAAAGTATCGACTACAGTAGTTTNAGCTACGGTATTGAGCATTAGTAAACCCAAAAAAAATTAATTTGGCTGTTCAACGACGAATATAAAATAAACTTAAAAATACTTTTGCCAGAAATCGCTACAAACTGTTTTTTTTCTCTTCTTTTTTTCTCTATCACACTTCACGCTACAACTTCCGTTTTTAAGAAGTAGTGCACTACACTACAAACTACGAAAATAAAGTATCGACTACAGTAGTTTCGCTACTTGTAGCTCGCTTGTAGCTCCGACCACTGAGGGTGCATTATTTTGATTTTCTTACCTCTTTGATGAATTTTCAAAGAAAAACTGCTGATTGATGCAACGGTGATCAAAGGAATGGATTCGCAATTCAGGTTGTAAACATACATAGTTGGGTACGCTGCTTATCTCCAACAGCTATTTTATTCTTTCTTTCTTTTAAACTACCATGTTAAAATTTCAATGTTAAAATGTGTCAGCAGATTTAACTAACATGGGAGATATAAATGTATTTTCAGCGATAAATCTTAACAGTAGAGTACTGTTTATTAATTGTGTAAAAATACAGAGCAAACCAACGATAAAAAAAAATTTAAAAAAACTTCTGTTCCACAATGTTTCACTATAGCTCATTCACCGAGAGTTGGCACTTGTCTCCACCTTCATCACGTGGTATGCAATGGTACTTTTTTGCTATTTTTGAGAAAAGTTTATGAGCAATCCTGAACAAGGTTGCTATTTAATTTTATAATCGCCTTTGAACAGCCGACCCAATTCTATGGGTTTACGACTATTAATGTTCAACTCTGTAGTCTTGTAATCTTGAATCCAATCCAGAAGACAAGGGAACTGCTGGATCAAGTACTGGAGGAAATTTGCCTTCGTGGAGGATTTTTTGGTGGAACTATCTCGCATTTGCATTACGTGGAGAGAGAAACCACGAAAACCTCCCACGGTTAGCCTGACGCAAGAGGACTCTAACCCATGATCAGTCTACCACTGAGGATATTTCAAGTCAGCACTGTGGATGCGGAATTCGTATCGACTGGGATTTGAACCCGGTTTGCCTCATTGGAAGGCGAACGCTCTATCCCCTGAACCATCGCTGCTCAGGGTTGCTATTTGGCGCGTTACGGCAAAAATATTTATGTCGCAAACTTCATGTTCATTTTTTTTAACATTAAATATTTCCTAAATTTGATATTTCGCGCCATTTTTTTTAACGATATTTCTCTCTTTTGAGTGAATAGTTTGTCTTTTTTTGAGACATTTTTCTGTGAAAACAGCAGTTTTTAAATTTAAAATATATTTTAATTAGCTAGAGAAACGAAAGCTGTAATAGCAGATAATAAAGCGAAGTAAGTGACTGAAAAAGATTTAACTACTTGTGTTTGACTTGCATTAAAGGTTGTCTCAATTTCAAGCACGGAGATGCTTCTCTTCTTACTCCCGCCCTAAAATGAACTCTGCTTCCGAGATGGTGGAGGCAAGTGTCAACTCCTGAAGAGTGAACTATATTCCTAGTATTGGTTAAGAGGAGAGGATGGTCCAAACACGTTTCAAAAACCTCTGCTGCTCTACCCCTAAATGTTGTTTTCTCCTTTATACACAAGAAGGCACCTAACATTGGGGAACTTGTTTACATCATGTCAATGAAAGCTAGAGTTCTTTCCCTATGTATATTCTTTGATACAACTACTCGTTCAGATTATTGAAATAGTTTATTTTCATGACATTGCTTTATATAATTTAAATTACTAAAAATGAACTCAATCTTTTTCCTAAATGTTTTTTTTTTAATTTATTGTGATACTTTACACTTTTACCGATTGACTTATTGGACGGAAGATACTTTTATATAATAATAAATAAATGGATTTTAAAAAATTATTTTAAATTTCTAATGCAAAAAAGAGAAAAAAAAACATTTTTATTTTTTTAAAATAGTTTTCAATTTTTTTACAGGTTGGCAACAGAAGTTTAGAAAGACTATGTGAGGGGATGATTCCATGTCCACACATACCAATGATTGGAGTTCTTTCTAAATGAGCGGTAATTCCAATATTCTTGGCTCCTTAAATAACCATTAGTTTATCATTTACCTCTTGGTTGTTCGTGCGACACTGTTGATGAAAAACTACGCGGTACTTTTCTTTTTACAGAAAAAATTGAGTTTTAATTCATCTAGAAAATCAAAGACATATATTTCTAAAATTATTATTGCATTTTTGTCGAAGATAAAAGATTTTTCTTTAAGAAATAAGGACGTAATTTTTGCAAGTAATATATCGAAATTTTTAACTGTGTTATAGTGATAGTACAGGGAGTTACATAGCATAGAGGGAGTTACGTTTAATAACCCTCACCCTCGGTAGTGTTAACACAGGGTTCCCACAGTACTTGAAAAACCTTGAAAGTCCTTGAATTTTGTTGGAAAAAAATCAGGGCCCTGAAAAGTCCTTCAATTCTGCCATTGGGTACTTGAAAAGTGCTTGATTTTTTAAGAATTAAAATAATACTAATCTTTCTTACAAAAAAGCAGTAAAAAAATAATAAATAAATTCAAAAGAAAATTATAGAAATTTTGATAGATACAATTTTTAATGCTTGAAGTGAAAAGGGGTTAAAGAAGATGTAAAGCTTTTCTCTCCTAGATTTTTCACACCAGATTATTGTTCATCTCTCTGATGTTTTGAAAGCTAAAATTTCTAGCAAATTTTAGGTTTTGTGATCATAGTTTTTGAATGATATTTAGTGTTGAATCGATTTAGAAATCTATTCAATGAGTTAACTTCGTTATTACTACAGGTTAATATTGTTATCCTATTTTTTCTTTTAATTTATATAAGAAGGATAATTAGTTTTTTATCATTAATAATCAGATTTTTACATTTAGTTTTTACTATCAATAAATAAAATTTAGTTCTACAGGTTTCATTGATTATGAATCAGCATCATGATTCACATTAAACTGATTCATGATTTACGGATCGGAATTCAAATAAAATGTTCTACGAATCGCCATTTAAATGAAAGTGATTAATGAATCACAAATTAAATATTACTTTGAACTGATGATCAAATTACTCATCAGGAATCACTCATCAGGATTCAATTAAAATTATTTCTGAATCATTGAGCGTGATACGTATTAAAGTTATTTCAGAATAATGCCTCCCAATTTCCATTATAGTAGTTTACGAATCACGCGTTGCGATTCACAAAAGAGAGGTTTAAGAATTACCACTTGTAATTCTCATCAAAACGATTTAAGAATCACGCATAGCTGTTCTATATTAAGCACCTTTCGAACCAGAATTTGCAGTTTTCATCATAATGGTCATAATTCATATAAAAACTATTAGCTAATCACGCAACAAAATTCAAATTGAAGTGATTTATGTATCACACATTGTGATCTACGCCTTGTTAGTTTGTGCGTTTTATGTCATTTGCTATTCATATTGAAGTCATTTAAGAAACATAAACAGCAATTCAATTTCAATTTACAAATCACGCATTGTGATACGTGATTTACGTAATCTTTGAGACTTACTTCACCTTTCCTATAATTTTGATTTACGTATAGTATATCTAGATTCGTATAAATGCGATTTGAAAATTACGCTTAGTGAAAATTACACATATTCACAAAATTTTAAAGAAAATAAAGCTTGGTAAGTCTTGGTTAGTTTTCTGTAAAATATTGTTCTACAATAGATTTTATTACGTTTAAAATGCATTCCTCATTTTCTGAAGCAACAAAATAGATAATTTGTTATTAAAATTGAAACAGCTATGTTAAATGGATATATTTTGATATTTTATCTAATTATATACATTTCCTGTAACCTAAAATTTGATCTAACATATTAAAAAAATTATTTATATTTCAATAACCGTGCGATTACTCAAACTTTATCAATTATAATATGCTTGTTTAATGTAATATGCATTATTCATTCACTCAATTTCATTAATTCACTTCCTTAAATTTTTCAAGAAAAGTTTCACGGATGCAAGTTTTTAAATGTTGGCTAGTATCCTATGTCAATTGGAGTTTTTTTTTCTCGAGTCAATTGGAATTTTTTAAAATGATTTGAAACAGCAATGTAACTATCAACCATTTGTATTATTAGATGATAAATTTAATAAATAAAATTTTTTTGTTGTCTAATAAGCATTGTGCTTTAAAATATACAATTTCTGCTTCTACGTAATTTTAAAATCTAGTTGACATATAGTTTAGCATATAATTGTAATACTGAATAGGTCCTTAAAAATGTGATTTTAGGTCCTTGAAAGTCATTGAAAAGTCCTTAAATTTTTTTTAAACAATTGAGTGGGAACCCTGTAACATATCTCGGAAGAAATTTTTAACATAATAAAGTGTTTTCTTTCAAACATGTTTGTGTAAGGTCATAAGATAACAAAATTTTTTTTTAATTTCCTGATAAAGGAGTAATGAAATATTCACAAAAGTTTGAATGCTAAAAATGAGAGGAAAATTCGCAAGTATTTGGCCTAGAATTTACATATTAGAAAATATCTGCACTTAAGGCGTCAATGGACTTTCAAAAAAATTTTTAGAAATTCTCAAGGGAATTTGAAATTTTCAGTATATTGAAATTCTCAATATATATCTATATTGTAAAAACAACTTATATCCAAAATTTCAAAAAAATTTTTAAAAATTTCCGAAATTAAAAAAACACGTCTGAAATTTTGTTAAAATGACAAAATTCCTTTAAAATATTACATATTAGGTGATATAAAAAATTGTTGGGAGTACTTTTTTTAAATTTTATTATTGAAACAAATAACAGAAAAAAAGCAATAAAAAAACATCATTTTTAAAAAAAAAATCATCTTACCGCTATGAAATGTCATGTATAAAAATAATACTATTTACTTAATTCAAAAAACTTTTCCAACGAAATGTTAATAATATTCATAAATGTATAGCATCAAATTCTCAGGTTAATAGAATAAAAATTCATTTCGCTGGAGGAGTTTAAAATTTGTAAATTTGTCAAAAAAGACATTTTGGGAAAAATAACTTTTACTACTTTTTCATTGCAAGGCGCCAAAGGGGCGTGGTCAAACCAGAAATGGCCATGACTTCGTCAGTTTTGCTCTAATTCAAGAATTTTATTTTTTTTAATGTTCAGTTAAATGCCTAGGTTTCGAAAATATAAAAAGTGAAAAGTAAATTTTCTTGGCAAGTTTTTGCTTATTTGAAAGTTCCTTGTCACCTTAACTGTTTATTTTTAATGTAATATAAAGAGAAATTTTTATCACACGAGACATTAACAAATTCAATCAAATTTGATGCATGCGTACAGACTTTCTGAATAGGTCCTTAAAAATGTGATTTTAAGTCCTTGAAAGTCATTGAAAAGTCCATAATTTTTTTTAAAAAAATTGAGTGGGAACCCTGTAACATATCTCGGAAGTAATTTTTAACATAATAAAGTGTTTTCTTTCAAACATGTTTGTGTAAGGTCATAAGACAAAATTATTTTTTAATTTCCTGATAAAGGAGTAATGAAATATTCACAAAAGTTTGAATGCTAAAAATGAGAGGAAAATTTTCAAGTATTTGGCCTAGAATTTGCATAATAGAAAATATCTGCACTTGGACACAATGGCGACACAATGGCACAATTGGCGACAATGGACTTTCAAAAAATTTTTTAGAAATTCTCAGGGGAATTTGGAATTTTCAGTATATTGAAATTCTCAGTATATATCTATATTGTAAAAACAACTTATATACAAAATTTCAAAAAAATATTTCAAAATTTCCGAAATTAAAAAAACACGTCTGAAATTTTGTTAAAATGACAAAATTTCTTTAAAATATTACATATTAGGTAATATAAAAAATTGTTGGGAGTACTTTTTCATAATTTTATTATTGAAACAAATAACAGAAAAAAAGCAATAAAAAAACATTTTTAAAAAAAAATCATCTTACCGCTATAAAATATCATGTATAAAAATAATACTATTTACTTAATTCAAGAAACTTTTCCAACGAAATGTTAATAATATTCATAAATGTATAGCATCAAATTCTCTGGTTAATAGAATAAAAATCCATTTCGCTGGAGGAGTTTGAAATTTGTAAATTTGTCAAAAAAGACATTTTGAGAAAAATGACTTTTACTACTTTTTCATTGCAAGGAGCCAAAGGGGCGTGGTCAAACCAGAAATGGCCATGACGTCGGCAATTTTGCTCTAATTCAAGATTTTTTTTTAATGTTCAGTTAAATGCCTAGGTTTCGAAAATATAAAAAGTGAAAAATAAATTTTCTCGGCAAATGTTTGCTTATTTGAAAGTTCCTTGTCACCTTAACTGCTTATTTTGAATGTAATATAAAAAGAAATTTTTATCACACGAGACATTAACAAATTTAATCAAATTTGATGCATGCGTACAGACCATACTTCAATACTTAAAAGTTTGAGAACTTTTTATCGTAGTGCATATGACTCTCCAAATAAGCATTACATCTTATTTATTCAACTCAGGCAACACTTCAAAAACTTTTTCTTTTCATTGGTAAATTTTGTTCTTAAACTAAATTACAGATTTGAGATAGATAAAATGAAATAAAAAGAATAACCAAATTTATCAAGGCAATTCATTGTATTAAAAAGAAAAAAAGATTGTGCTAGGGAATTAACAGAATTCAGCTACGGAGAAAAAGCAGGCGTTGCTATATCCGTCCTCAGACTTTCTTGCGTAACAAGCAAAAATCTCTTTTACAGTGGATATATTAATTGCAACCTCTTTATAAAAACTAATTATTATTATTCGATACATCAGATCCGTTAGAGAAATTGAATCTTGGAAATTATTTACTCCAAATATCCTTGNTTAAAAATTATTTACACCAAAAATTCTTGAAAATCATCGCATGCAGATTAAAAAATCACGAAAATATTCGTGATCGGTAAACGCACTGGTCCTGCACATTTTAATTAATAAATAAAATATTTTATTTCATAACAGCAGACCCAATTTTTTTGAGGTTTACAACTACCAATATTCAACTCCGTAGCCTTTTAATTTCGAAAATAATCCGGAAGACAAGGGAACTCCTGGATCAAGTATTGGAAGAAATTTGCCTTCATGGAGGACTTTTTGGTGGAACTCACCCGCATTTACATTACATGGAGAGGAAAACCTCGAAAACCGTCACGGTTAGCCTGACGTCAAAAGGAAACTCTAACCCATGATCCATCTACCATTGAGAATATTTTACTTCAGAACTGTGGTCGGTGCAAGCCATCGCTGGGATTGGAACCCGGTTCACGTTTAATTTCTGACTTAATTACTTCCACCTGGAATTTTAATTCGAAAATTTATACATTTTGGAACATTGTTAGCTACCCGACAAAATGTAGTAAAAATGAAGTTTCAGTTAATTCATAGTCTAAAAATCAACAGCACATTTTAATTCATGAATAAAATATTTTATTTTATAGCCGTTGAACTGCCGACCCAATTTTTTTTATTTGGGGGGGGAGGGGTTTACTAGTATTAATGTTAAACTCCGCAGTCTTGAATTTTGAACCTAAACCAGAAGACAAGGGAAGACTTGGATCAACTATTGGGAGGAATTTGCATTTGTGGAGTACTTTTTGATGGAACTAACCCGCGTTTGCGTTACATGGAGAGAAAAACCACAAAAACCTCCCACGGTTAGCCAAGCTGC